CTCCCGCCGCTTCAGGGTAAGTGCAGCCCCCCGCGCCCCGCCCGGTCCGCCGCCAGCGCCCCGCGGTCCCCGCGCAGGTGCAGGGTCCGAGGGACCCCAGCGGGCACCGAGTCCACGTCCCACGTTTCAGAATCGAAGAAACAAGGCCAGGGGAGCAAAAGCGCCGTGCTCTGGGAGGGCCCCCAGCTATGGTCACCCCCGGGTGCAAACTGACACCCCGCTTCCCGCGCCCCGGGCCCTTCTCTTTAGCCACAACCAGCAGAGGAAGGACNACTTCCGCGCCCCCGGGCCCTTCTCTTTCGCCACAGCTAGCGGAGGAGGGACCCAGCTGGCAACTTCAGCCGTCCCTAGAGGCCTGGGGCCCAGGAGGAGAGCGGGCGTCGGAAGGGTCCCCTGGGCGCGGGCGCCTGGGGAGGGCGGGCCAGGCTCCAGGCTGCGTCTGATTCCTGGAACCCACCCCTGCTCGGGAGCACCTTGGCCGCTTTACCTGGGCAATTTATTTTGTTTTACTTACTTTTTTTTTTGGAGGTAGAAGAAAAGTGTGTTTAGATACTGCGCGCTGGGAATCCGAGAAGTTTGCTTTTTCTTAAACAGGTTCGCCGTTTGCTTTGATTGCAACAGTGTTGAGTTCCCCAGACGTGAGTCATTCCCGGGCATTGGGCGCTGGAGTCGGCAGGTGGGGGACATGAGTGCGGGACCGCGAAAGGCCTATAGAAAATCGTGGCCAGGAGGCTCTGGGTGGCTGCTGCTAAGAAGTTGCACCCCCAGAGCTGAATTCTTTCCGAGGATTTCTGATCACAGAAATCCTTCACACACTTTGCCCGCATTTACGACTGCCTAAAAAATGTAACTCACTAAAACGTTACTTTGTAAAGATGTCACCATCGGCTTTCATGAAGGCAAAAAACTTCAAACTGACAAGAAAGGGAATTTAAAGATGGAAAGAAAACCAGAACCTTGTTCCCAGAGCCATGTGGTTGCGCAGAGAAATCTATTTAGAAACAGGATGCAGGAGGAAGTCAAAGGAAATGATGTAGCCATTCTAATCCCTTTCAGAAGGGATGTTTCAAGTTCTGTTGTTAGGTCGTTTGGCCGCCACTGTGGAGTAATTCTTTATTTCTTAGCACTTAAACCAGTAATAATCGTTAATAATTTAGAAATTATACTGGATCAACATATGTTGAGTGTCAGCTTTGACCATGTACGGAACAGCCACTTGGGTAAGGCAGAGGCGTGGGGTTAAGGCCATACCTTTGGAGAGCGGCTGCCCAAGTTCAGTCCCTCCTCACTGGCTGTGTGACTGGACTGTTAGTTTACCTCTCTGTTCCCCATTTCTTCATATGCAAAGTGGACGTGTTATTAATGGTACTTATCACCCTAGATTATTCTGAGGCTTGTATTAAATCACTCATTCATTCAACGAGTATTTTTTTTTTTTATTGCTTTGTATGCCCCATTGAGCCAATATGGAGAAAAAAAGGTCTAGCTTTACAAAATTAACCTTTTGGTGTGTTTTTTGGCACACAGTAAGGACCCACAAAGCTAGCTGATATGATGATACATATTATTTTATTTAATGCCAGCTACAGCCCTCCTCTCCCGTTTTTACAGATAAGAAAACTAGAGGTCAGAGAAATGTGTCTAGCTTGAAGAGGCAAAACCAGGACTAGTGATACCTTGTATCCACTATGCAGAGAGAGGGCCGTATATGGTGTTAGACCCTGTAACTAGAGAGCCTGAGAAAATCAGGGCTAAGTATTTTCAGGGACCAATGTAATTTCCTGTTGAACTCTGTTCTGGGGCTATCATTGTATTTTTAGAATATTTTGTTCCCAGGATGGGTGTGAGCAACTTGCATTTCTAAACCATCCCTTGGAGACACGCCAGCGTGTGTGAATAACACTGACCTGTGAGTTCCCAGCGGGAGCCCCTCCGCATCCTGCCAAGGACGGGCTGGGCTGCCTTAGAGAGCAGGCAGCCCGCCTCTAGCAGCCTGCAGGCTTGGAGGCACGGAAAATCCAGATGGAAGCTTCACTCAGACACAAGGAGTCACATGGAAGCCAGCTAAAATTTATGTTGAGAGGGGACAATTTCCTGTGTTTTTGTCATTCCCTAAGATGGTAGTCTGTCTTGATTAAAAGAAGTCAGCAATCAAATACTAGGTTTTAAGTTAGTAAAAAATTGGCTTTCCAGGAAACATATTTGTAAACCCCTTACGTCAGTTTTTTTTCCTTTCCTTTGGAGCCCTTCACAGGCCTAGCACCATCTCTTGTATACAGTAGGCACTCAGTAAATGTTGGTTTAGCAAATGGGCTACCTGATGTTAAAAACACATCTTCTTGAGCTGGTTTCTCTTTGGATATTGGTTCTGTTTTCTGGATTAAAGATTAAGGGTGGTGAACTTACTGTGTTTGCCTTACTCCATTTAGCAGGTTTTTTTTTTCTTTTAATAGGTTAGTGTGATCTGAACTCAAGGCAAAGGCGGGATAGCATGGCATCTCTCTGGGTAAGTAAACATCAAGCCTTCCTAACACAGTAATTTATCTGAGTTCAATCAGAATACAAAGAAAAAGTTCTGAAAGTTGATAAAAAGTTCATCTGAAAAAAATTAACTTGCCAAAAAAGCTCATGGAAGTCCAAAAATAATGTATTGTAAAGGTACATAGTTAAAATAATTTATGATGGCACCAAAGCAGAGAGGTCAATAACAGAAAATTTCTTTAGTATATGATTTGGGAACTTATTATATGATAAAGATGATATTTCATAGCAGAGGGAAAAGATGGCTTATTCAATAAATTATGTTAGGAAAACTTCTAGCCATTTAGGGAAAAAGTAAATCTGTATTCCTTCTCCCTTCTTACATAAAAATATATTTCAGATGGATAAAAATACTGAAATGAAAGAGATGGGGTGTGGGTAAAATTTAAATAATCTAGGAGTGGGGAAGGCACCCACAACTGTGGCATCAATCAAAAGCCTGAAAGACAAATATTGATCTACTTAGCTATATGTAAATCTATAATTTATGACAGCAAAGGATACTATTAGTAGAGTCCAAAGACAACCCACAGGGGAGAAATAATTACAGCACATCGGACAAAAGACTTATTTCTTTAACATATAAATAACTTGAATAAACCCGTAAGAAAAATGGACTCAGTAGAAAAATTTGCAAGGGACATGAGTAGGACATGAAAAAAATTATAAATGCTCAACAAACATATGGAAACATGATCTACCTCACTGAAAATTAAAGAAATGTAAATAACACAATAAGAAATCATTTCCTGCCTAAGAAATCAGTAAAGATGAAAAAAATGGAGTGAGACCAATGTTGCAGAGGATTTGGGTACGACAGGCCCTCGCCCGCTGTCCCTGGGAGAGTGAACGTGGCACCCGTGGATGTTATTTTGTTAATCCCTGTCCGTGTTTAAACGTGCAACCCTTTAACCAAGTACTTTCACTTCTGGGTATTTATCATATAGCTATATTGGTATAAGGTTGAAAAAATAGGGACCTAAGGATGTTCATTTGAATTAATGAATATATGCAGACAGCCTAAATGGCCATCCTGGGACATGAAATTAGTAAATCACTCATTTGTAATTTATAGCCATTTTTTATGTGATCATTAGAAAGACTGGGCGGGAAGGGTCAGCTTTATATATACTGACGTAAGAAAATGCCCGAAGATATATTAATCAATGAATACAATCGAGTTACAGACTGATGTGTACAGAGTGATTCTGTTTATACATATATATGCATATAACATACATATGTGTATACACACACACACATATATTGTATCACATGAAAACTTTCTGGAAAGGGGAGCCGTTGCTTTGTGGGTGCAGGGCTCCTGCTCTGCGGTGCATGAAGAGCTCTGGAGCCAGGGCCGCACTGAGCAGTCTCCCCGCCACCGGACTGTGCACGTAGAGGGGTCACTGTGGTCAGCTTTATGCTGAGTTTTTACCACAGTAGAAACCCTCGGATTTGTGTAGATAAGTCGCTAAGTTTTATCCGTTCTCTTGTTCCCTCTTATACACAAAACACACAAACACACAAACACAAATGACCGATCAAGTCCGTGTTTTTCTACAAACTGTAGATGGGCTGGTGGTTGCCCATGTATGGGGGGTCTGTGGGGAGTCTGTGGGGAGTCTGTGGGGAGTCCACGGGGAGTCTGTGGGGAGTCTGTGGGGAGTCTGTGGGGAGTCCACGGGGAGTCTGTGGGGAGTCTGTGGGGAGTCCGTGGGAAGTCTGTGGGGAGTCTATGGGGAGTCTATGGGGAGTCTATGGGGATTCCACGGGGAGTCTGTGGGGAGTCTATGGGGAGTCTATGGGGAGTCTATGGGGATTCCACGGGGAGTCTGTGGGGAGTCTATGGGGAGTCTATGGGGAGTCTATGGGGATTCCACGGGGAGTCTATGGGGAGTCTATGGGGAGTCTTTGGGGAGTCTATGGGGATTCCACGGGGAGTCTGCGGGGAGTCTATGGGGATTCCACGGGGAGTCTGTGGGGAGTCTATGGGGAGTCTATGGGGATTCTATGGGGAGTCTGTGGGGAGTCTATGGGGAGTCTATGGGGAGTCTATGGGGATTCCATGGGGAGTCTGTGGGGAGTCTATGGGGAGTCTATGGGGATTCCACGGGGAGTCTGTGGGGAGTCTATGGGGAGTCTATGGGGAGTCTATGGGGAGTCTACTGGCGCAATCTGATCGAGACGGGGGACTCCTGTTGCAGTTTCAGTCCTCACGGTTGAAGGTGAAAGCCTGGTTGGTTTCCCAGGTCTGTGTTCTCTGGGGAAGTGTTTCATCCTCCTGTAGTTTCAGATGAGTGAACAGTCCACGTTGCGTTACTGCTTCCTTTGTTTGGAAATGTTCACTCTCTCTGCTCCGGCAAATGTTCTACACTTAACCCTGATGAAAGGACTTGGTGCTTAGTGGTCTGTACACTGATTCCGGGTCCCTTGTCATATATGCCTTTAGGGCCATGGCAAGCGCTCAGGCAACCCACAAATTAAAATGCCTTGGAACATGACTTTTATTAAGATACATAGTAGTATTTTTTCTGTATGCTCCTTCTACAGTGCCGACTTTCTTATGCAGATATTCTGAGTTCTTTCCTCCTTGGTCAATTCTTAACTTACTTTTGCAGAATAATAATGAATGCAGTTACTCTTTTTGTGAACCCTCACATTAGTATTTTTATTATGGAACTAAAATATTTCTAAATTAACTCATAATCATTGTAATCATCATAAACCCTTAACTCTAATTTGCAAAATGAGGAAGGAGAACATAGAGCCACTCTGGACCCAACAGATAAAAGCAGTTTCACAAAAATGTAACTTCCCGTAAATATGATGCCTAGTAGGTTTGTTTTGAAAGAGCACATCCAGAGGGCAGTTAAACAATTAAAGCAGTAAGTACCTGGTGCAGTGGGCCTGACTGAGAGCAGAATGAAGACAGTAAGGCCACAACCCCAGTTCTCCTTTTCATAACTCTCTAATTGAATATAGCATTGAGCAAAATACTTCGTCTCTCGCTGTCAGTCTCCTAACCTGGAAATGGGTGTGCTAATAGCACCTACATCATCTAGTGCTTGTCAGCATTAAATCCGTTCATGCAAAATGCATTAACAGTGCCTGGCATGTAGTGAGCACTCTGTAAATATTATAATCATTATAATTTCAATATCTTAATTTCTTCCTAAGAACATATTTCTTGCTAATTATATCTTTGCAACTGTTTTAGTAAAGGAAACTCTGCCTGTTTCCTGGGCCTAAATTTATTACAAATCAACAGCATACCCTCCCCATTGGGCTGATTTCTCTGAGCTACCTGAAACAGATAGATTTTCCCCAAATAGAATCTTTCTGACCACTGCTATTTTCAATATTTCCTAGCACGTATGTATATATGTATATATTTAATACTTTATTTTTAGAGGAATTTTAGGTTCACGGGAAAATTGAGAGGAAGGTACAGAGATTTCCCATATACGCCCTGACCCCACACACGCACAGCCGCCCCCAGTATCAACATCCCCCACCAGAGTGGTGCATTTATTATACTTGATGAACCTACACTGACACATCATCATCACCCAGAGTCCATAGTTATATTACAGTCACTCTTGGTGTTGTATGTTCTGTGGGTTTTGACATTTATATATATTTAAAGACCTATAATGCCCCATTTCCACTGCAAGTGGGTGTGCTACACCGTTCTCACACTGCCGGAGTCACTGTCAGACGCCCCAGGTTTAAGGGCTCAGTCCCCACTTCAGACATCAGCTACAAGGCTTCAAGCCACCTGCCTTTCTGACCAATTAGCTGTACATTTGGGGATTTCCATGACCCTCTTAGGTTTGGCAATTCTCTAGAACAACTCATAGAACTCACTGAAAGTGCTATACTTAAAATTACAGTTTGTTGCAAAGGCTACACACAGGGCGAGGTCTGGAGGGGCCCGGATGCGGAGCTCTCCGCCCTCTGCCCGTGGATCGCCGCGTGACCCTCGTTCGCAGCCAGGAGGCTGCTGCAGCTCAGCGTCCAGAGTGTTCTCTGGGGCTTCGCTGCAGGTGTGGTTGATGAAGTCACTGGCCACATGATTGAGCTCAATCTCCAGTCCCTTTCTCTTCTCAGATGCCAGCCCTCTAAAGTCCTGGCTGGTCTTTTTTAGTGGCCACCCTTTTTAAAAAAATAATAATTTTTTAAAATTGATTTTAGAGAGGAAGGAAGGAAGAGGGATAGAGGTAGAAACATCGATTGGCTGCCTCCTGTACGCCCTCTCCTGGGGATTGAGCCCGCAACCCGAGCATGTGCCCTGACCGGGAATGGAACTGGTCACCTCTTGGTTTATGCATCGATGCTCAACCACTGAGGCACACTTGCAGGGCTTAGTGACCACCTTTGTGGCTAAAGCTATTTAGGGACCCACAATGAGTCACCTCATTAGCATAATAAAGACACTTTTATCACTAGGGAACTTCCAACAGTGTTTGAACCCCTGTGCCTGGAACCCAGGACAAAGACCAGATACATTCATTATACCTCACACATGTAACTCACAGCAGGGTCTATAGGATTTCCAACATGTCATATTTTTTTATTTTTTTACTAAAATTATATCAATGCTGGCATTGGTTATTTTATGCTGATCAGAAGCTCTGACTACAAGTTACATCTGTCATAATAAATATGAGTTATGTGTTGCAATCAATACGAAGTGTCAGGCAGAATCATTCAAAACATAGCGTCCATGGAGAAGAAATAATAGAAAGGATTCCTGATGGTGGGAAAGTTCGGGAAGGTGTATCTAAAGCAGAAACTTGCTAATAAGAAAAGCCGGGCGATGATCATGTACTCATGGTGAGAATTAGCGAGCACAGCTTCCCTTCCCCACCTGACCCTTCCCCTTTCCCTGGGAACAAGATTGGTGCAAGTGGACACCTGAGGACACACCCATTTCTGCTGTGTAGCCCAGGGGAACGATAG